GAATACCGAGGTGCTGTTGAGGTGTGGGAACCAGTGGTGATGTGATTAGTGCTAGGTGGTTGAAGTAAGTATGAATAGTCTTGAGTTCTTGTCTTGACAGTATCATTTGACGTGATCATATTTATGAGTTGCTGCTTTCTGTTCTATAAAAAGGGCTAAATTCCTTCTGTGCCTACTTCACATTGTGGTGAGGATCGTAATATTGAAAATAGAGATAAAAAACAAATATGAACACCACAGAGATGATAGTGTGGTGGCATATGATGATGGTAATCAATAAGGAATGAAAGTGGAAATGTCTGAAAGTCACCCATAGACGATTAGATTGAAAACTAAGGGGATAACTGGAAAAAAAAATTTGAACATCACGAGTAAAGAGATACCATTTGAAGACCTAGTTGAGGATGGAGAGATGGAATGTCATCAATGTAGTCTTTTTTCTGATTATTGTCTCACATTTTCCTATTTAACTTCCAAACAATTTGAAATGACAGATACGAAGGTTATATACTTGCCTTTATAGATAATAAAATTTTAGCACCTAATATTTAATTATTTGTCTAGTTCTCAAAACGGTTTAAGGACTTACTCTCATAAACAAAAAATAAAGTCTTATAAAGATTTCTCTAACTCGTGTTGTTATTTATCTCATTTGTCACTGACCTTTTTAAAAACATCGCTGTCATCTGAGGCTGCAAACAATCTATTAACTGAAAATAGAATGATCTTTTAAAAGATGTTTGTTCATGTAACTTCTTTATTGCCTCATGAACCTTTGCTGAACAGTTCAGTAGGTGATGCCACAATTTTGGAATTAATGTCACTTGGACTGCGAAAATAAAATATTTTTTCATTTTAATTCCACACTAATTTTTACTGAGATTTCCTAGAATTACTTAAATATCAAAATGTGAAGGTGTCTACTAATAGTAGTCAGTGCCATGAAATTCTGAGATAATTATTTTCTGAACAATTGAGTTATTTTTTATTTTTCGTTATAAGCATATCCTAAGCAAATATGGGTTGTAATAATCAGTTAATGAGAGGTTTGAGAGTGCAGATTCTCAATTTGGACTTCTTGCATTCAAATTCTGACTTTGCCACCCCATTTCTTAATTTATTTGTGTGTAAAATAATGATGATATTGATATTCATACCAACCTCAGATAATTTTTCTTAAAAGTTAAACAATAACCTAAATAAAGTATTTAAAACAGTACCTGTCACAAAGACATTTATTGATAAATATAAAATATATTGCACATATTATATGTGATAATATAGTAATATATATTTTAGAAATATAAAAAATGTGTGTATGTATTTAAATGAATAGATACAAACATAGGTTTTTTTTTCTTTCTTACTACTCCACAATTGGAATGTAGATATAAACCCTTTGAGTGCTATTTTTGTCCGCTCAATTCACCCTTGAATTCATACCACCTAGAGCAGTGCTTGGCACTGAGTAAATATTTAATGTATGAATGGAGTTTCTCTACATTTTAAACTTGCTTTCTTAGGATCAGAAAATTTACCTTGAGCATTCACATTTTTCATGTTCCTGTTTTTTGTTTCAGTTGGTGAGTGAATCGAGTCTTACTTTTATTTTCCATTTTTGTAATATTATATATGTGTCTACTATCTAAGGTTTGAAGCACAGATTAATTTAATTTTTAATTAAAACAACCTAGTAGTACACAGACCCAAAGTATTGCCATTTAATTTCCAGGACCTAGATTCATCTGTAACAATTTCTAGTGTATTGTTTTTTATGTCGCTTTTTAGCCATATGGGACTTTGAGGAAAATATGAACATATACTTGTATGCATTCATTTTTATCCAAAACACTACACTTTTATGACTTTTGTGAGCGCATTCCTTCTAAGTAGTCACACTGCTCAAAACTATTTCGAGTAACTCCTTTCCAAATATCCCTTTCAGAACAAGTTTAATAATATTAAAAGAAATTCATCATTCTTGCTTTATACAGGTAGATCAGTATTATTTGATATGATACCATTTCCTTCCCTTCTCTCAGTTTTCTTTTTTATTCCCTTTACACTTCCACTCCTCTTTTTCTTTATCTTGTTTCCCTCCACACCTGGCCGCCTTCTCATTAGCAGGCTAAGTGACTCTATGTAAGCTTGTCCTTGGTCTGAGTTGTCTGCTGATTCTCAAGTGCCATAAGTGGCTATAATTGAATGAGGCACAGAGACGCTGAATAGCCAAATGCTAAACTGAAGATTTTGTGTTCTTATTTACAGGAAGAAAAAGAACATATTAAGGTAGTTATATGAGTACAAGACATACTCAAAGACACATATGATGGCGCACTTTTGTTTTTGGTCTCAACTGATGTGAGATCAATACAGAAAGTTTCTAACAAGCAAGTTTTATTTCTTCAAAACAGTAAAAAGTTTGTTTACCCAGGCAGCACGTTGAAGCTCTGTTATGTGCTGGACTTGATAGGAAGGAATGAAATTGAAGACATAAACAAAGAGGTATGGGAGAACCAGGGAAGATATAATTGTTTTTGTCTGTGATGGAATGGGTTTGGTGGTATCAGGAAGAACTCTGTGGATTTAGTCATGCTTGAATGTCAGAATGGATTTCTCAGATTGGAGGGGAAAAGCTAAATGTAATAGCAGTTGTAGGCAAGCTTGTGCTGTCATTACCCATGATTGTTAAGATATGTAGAACGTTTGTAAGATGAGGATATGCCAGTTCAAAAATTAGGGAAGAAAGTAACCCAGGTAAACATTCAGTAATTATTGAAGGACATGTTCAATTTGTTGAATGAATAATTGTACAGGGAAATTCAAGCAGTTGATTAAAAAATTGTTTTAGGTGCCTGTCCACACAGTCAAGTATGCTATTCAAATATGGGCTAGAATGTCTCTTGTGGTCCAAAACCTCACTAATCAGTCAAATACGGATGGACACTCACTCAAAATAATACAGTGAGTTTCATAGCTTTTAATATTTTTAAATCCTCCAACAAAATATAATGCTTTTTATTAGTGAATAGTTTCCACCAATTTGTTTTCATTTTATATTATAGTGTACCTGATAGTAATCAATAGTGATTTTGTGAAAGGGAACTCGATTTTAATTTTATGCTATTGACTTTCTGCCCCATACCTAATTCCTTAACCATTGGGGATGAGATTTTAGAATAATGAATTTTGTCACTGCTTTAGCACCCACATAGTTGATTAACTTCTTCTACTAGCATGGTACTAGTAGCATAATAGAGACTAATTACCATAATAATTAACGAATACAAGTGATACTTGTGTAAATCTCTTACATAGACTCACTAGAAAGTTCAAGTGACATGATAAGTTGCAGAACCATTGGATACATTAAAATCCCAAAGAAAATACTTTGAAGGACAATACTTTTTTGTTGCATAAAAAGTCTGGTATGTTGATTGTATAATAATAAAAGAAATAGAAAATACTATGATAATTTAAAGAAAATGAAAACAAAGTGCTTTGATAAATCTTCCATTTAAGCAAACTGATATTTTTGTTTCATCCATTCTATTTTTTAAAATCCTAATTTATTTAGATTATTGTAATTATAGTTTTAAGTACATATACATAAATACATAGAAAGTGTGTATGTGTATTTGTGTGTAAGTGTATGATTATATTGCAAAGCATATTAATGTGTTTCTCAATATGCTTTTCATATCAGTTATCTCATGATCCAATTGGTTATCATATCCCAGTATCTTAGCTAGAAGTACCTTAGCAAGAATCCAGGAACTATTTTGGAAAAGGCAGAAATTATATTAAAAACTCATGTATTCTTTTATTTTATTTTTAATTTATTCTATTTTAAAGATGTGGAGTACAATTAAGGATTATGTAGATAAGTGGTCATCATACAGGTAAAGTTTGGGTTTCCCTTTGATCCCCACTTCAGCTGAATTGAGATCAGGTACCCTTATTAATGTTATGTGTCCCCCATCCCTTGGCAGTTTCTGGCTACTGCCAATCCCCTTCTCATAGTATTATGGTTTATGTTCATTGTTCTCTTATGAGTGCGAACAAGCAATACTCAGTTCTTTGTTTCTGTGATAAATCACTGAGTATTATAGACTCTAAGTAATCCAAGTTGCTGCAAAGTTCATAATTTTGTTCTTCTTTTTGGCTGTGTGATACTCCATCATGCATATGCACCACATATTTTTTTAATCTATTCCGGTTTCGATGGGCAGCACAGTTGGTTCCATGTTTTTGCTATTGTAAATAGTGTTGCAATAAACATGTGTATGCAGTTATCTTTTTTGTAGAGCGTTTTAAGTTCCTCCAGGTATATTCCCAGAAGGGAGATAACTGGGTCGTATGGAAGGTCAATTTCTAGTTCTTTTAGGAATTGCCACACTGTTTTCCATAGAGGTCGCACTAATTTTCTATAGAGGTTGAACTAGTTTGCATTCCCACCAACATTATGGAAGCGTTCCTTTTTTCCAGAATCCTCATCTGCATCTGTTGTTGTTTGTTTTGTTAATGATGGCATTCTTACTAGAGTTAGGTGGTATCTCAATGTGGTTTTGATTTGCATTTCTCTGATGATTGGTGAGACTGAACATTTTTCGTGTGTCTGTTGGCTGCTTGTATGTCGTCTTTTGAGAAGTGTTTACTCATGTCTTTTGCCCACTTTTTAATGGGGCTGTTTGTTTTTTTCCTCTTGGCAAGGTTGGTGTATTCTTTTAATTAGAAAAATATGTATATTCCATATCTACAAATTCATTAACTTTTTCAGCAAATATTACAGTAAGTTAGAATGCCAAAAGATGTATCACATGTATCCTGAATCTCCTCTTTATAACATAGTTCTGCTGTAATACCCCAAGCAGTGTGGGGAAAAAAATAGACTTGGCAAGTACTAAGAAACATTCAACTAGTTCTGCAGCTATAACCATGAAATAAAGTATATATTGTTTCTCATCATCTAATCAATATTTTTTCTTTTTTCTTTCCAGAAATGTTTAATTTGGTAAATTGGAGGAAAAAAACATGGATTTTTAGCATTTGAAGAGCAAATTAAGGTAATTAGAGGTTTACTGTTGCCATTCATATAATTTCAAAATTTATTTACATGTAAATATATGTTTTGATGAGTCTTTATCATTTTGAAAATTCAGCACATTTATAATGGGTTACTAAAATGAAATTTTATATAATTTTGGAAGATAAATCGACATTCCTTATTGTATGTTTTTGGAATATAACTTGATATTTCTTGTGAATGAATCACAAATGATATAATTTAAAATATTTGCTGTTGTGGGGAAATATACTTCAGCTACATTGAAAATAAATTGGCTAAAAATCAATAGTTTTAGTGACTCTCTACCTTTTTGATAAGGCTTATGTGTTATAGTGTGTTATAGAATAGCCAGACTGAATATTTGAATAACCATACTGAGGTGTTCTTTTTTTTTAGTTAGTGCATGTCTGTCAGCACAATGCATAATTTATTCCATTTATTTTCAATTGCACATCTATCATGGTGAATATGAATATTAGGAAATAAAACGTACTTATTTTATAACAGCAAGATGTTTAAGATTAAGCAAATTATTTTAAAACTGATGTTTTTATTTATTGCACATGTATTCATGGTGTACGATATAAAACATTTCAAATAGTATTATCTTAGGTAAGTTTGCATATTTCTATCTTCCCAGAAACCTGTAGAAGGCAAAAGGCCTTTATATTAATCAGGCAACAGTAAGATTGGTATTCTCTTCTCTTGAAGTTACTGAAAGTAATTTCTGTATAGTGACTTTGTAAAGTCTAAAATGTAAATTTGTAGCCTAAAATTTGAATTTATAAAGTTGCTGATTATTATTCACAATAAAATGATGTTTATTTAATTTTTCATTGTTTATATAATTGATAGGTATTTTACTTTCCTATCATCCTATTATCAAATATTCTGTATTTTTCTCTGTGCTCTGAGTGATTTAAAACTGCAAAAAATATTTAATTGGTCTTTGTATGTTCTGCATTTTTCAATTGATATTTTGTCTTTTAATTATTTTTGCTTTAATTTCTTTGTCACTGTTTTCTTCTCCATATTCATTTGTACTGCAAACAATATTATTCCTGTTTTGTAAAAGAGATATAATTGTGTTTCTTTCATTTATAATTTCTGTCAATGATTTCTGCTTCACATTAGTTCACATATGCAAACAATTAATATTATCCCCTTTTCCAGAGTACAGGTGATTGAATCTCTTTCATTTGTATTTATTAGCTTATTTATACATTAACAATTACATTTGGCAGACATTCTTCTAACGAGTTGAATGTGAAATGATTTGTTATTTAATGTTAGTGGAATAAATAAATAAAAACATTCTCATGCAATCATTCTTTTAAAAAATTAATCCAAACAAACCTAGGTGTGCTTGCCCTGGAAATATTAAAAGCTGGTGGGAAAGATGAAACCTCTAGATATTATTATGAAAGAGTTTCCTGACAAACTGCTAAGGAAGGAAAGGTGGGAGCAATGCACTTTTTGCTGGAGTCTCTAAAGCCTTCGTAGAAGCTGTGAAATTCACTGAGGGGTTGTTGAGACAGGGATGGTGAAGTTATGCTTTCCTGATTCATACACTAATTTGTGAAAGAGTGCATTAGAGAGCAATGGACAGTCATTGAAGGCTTGCTATTTTCAATATGGCTGAAGGATTACATCTGTGATGAGACAATGTTAGGAAGTGGGTAAAATAAAGTAGGTTTGGTACTGCCCATGTTCGCTGTACTAAAAGCTTAATTTTCTAGCCTAGATATCTTCAGAGTGCTCAAAAGTATTCAGGGGGGTGTGAGAATAAATTTCAGAACATTTCCTCATATTTATTTTTATTAAGAAATATGAGAAAGAATTGAAGCTTAATAATAGTTAATATTATAAATGCTACAGGTCCTAAATATAAAGTTTCTGGAGTAATCATAGTTTTTATTGTTTTTTAAACCATGTTGAGTGTTTGGCAAGTTTGTTTTTCTTGTTTGCTTATTTCTTTGTTTTTGAGTTGGAATCTCACGCTGTCACCCAGGCTGGAGGCTGTAGCATGCTCATGGCCACTGCAGCCTCTCCCTGGTGGGCCCAGGTGATCTTTCTGCTTCAGTCTTCCAAGAAGTTTGTTTTTTGTATTTTAATTGAGATATAATTCTTATTAAATTCACCCTTTTAAAGTGTACAATTCAGTGGCTTTCAGTATATTCACATAATTGGGCAACTACTACCACTCTAACTTCAGAACATTTTTTTCTACTCCTCCCCCTCAACAAAAGAGACTTGGTATAACCTCTGGCAGGCACTAACATGCTTCCTGTCACCATGAATTTACCATCTAATTATATGGAATCATATAATATTTGGGCTTTTTAATTTTTTTCTCTTAGCATAATGTTTTCAAGTTTTACTCTTGTTGTAGCATGAATCATTACTTTATTTCTGTTTATGGCTGAATATTATTCCATTGCATGGATATGCCACATTTTGTTTATCCATTTATCAGTTGATGAGCTTTTTGTTTGTTTGGTTGTTTCCCTTTTTTGATTATGAATAATGCCACACTGAAGATTTGTGTATATGTGTAGGTGTGTATATTCATTTCTCTTGGATAATTTCTCTTGGATAACTTCATCTAGGGGTGAAATTGCTGTTATATGGTAAACTGTATGCATAGCCTTCTGAGGAATGTCCAAACTGTTGTCCAGAGTGGCTGTACCATTTTACATTCCTAATAGAAATGTATGAATTTTCTAATTTTACTGTATCCTTGCCCAAGGTTTTTATTGTCTCTCATTTTGATTATAGCCCTTCTAGTGGATGTCAAGTGGTATCTCACTGGGATTTTGAAAGTAGTGATTGCTTCAAAGAATATCTTAGTATACTAGTGTTGCATGTATTTGGTTAAGTGCATTTATGGAATTACTGTCATTTAAAAAATAAATTAGGCCTCACATTTTGGCAATCATTTTTATGTAGTCTTATGTAAAAACTGCAAAATAAAGACTTTTTATTGATACGTGCCTAAGTCAGCGGTGAAAAAATGCCCGCTGATGCTTTCCTTACTTTTATTATAGGTTATTTCACAGTTTCATTATATGACATAATGACATTGATAATCTACTCAGATTTATTAAGAAGCTAATCCAAAACTTTCAATAATCAAGAAGGCTGTGAAGTATGGATTTGTCTCTTACACTTGTAAGCGATTACACTTGTAAGAATATGTTTTGTTTTGAGGTGTAAGTTAATGACAGTACACAGCAACATGAATAATAAGATCTGTAGTAACTTAACATCTGGAATACAAATGTAAAACCTCTCTGGTTTTTTCCTCAGTGTTTAAAGTCGTGTTCAATCTGGTGATTTACAAATTTTCACTAAACTTTATGATAAATCTTTAGAAGCCTTATTTGAGACTTCCTGCAGGGAAGGAATAAAGTTATTGGAGAAAGCCTTGCTCTTCCTGCTGTGGTTATAATGACTGAAATCACATGAGAAAATGATGGCAACAAATAAAAATGTATTACCTTATCCGCAAATACTATTAGAAGATGACATAAAAAACATTGCTTTAATCAGAAATAAATTAAGCATTAGAACAAATTATGTAGTATGAAAAGTTTGCTCTTCATTTGGACAAAATGTGTGTATTTCCAATACATGTCAATTTATGACATTTGCTAGACTATATTTTTAAAGACAGGGTTAGTGATATCTATTTAAAATACAGTAAACTTACTCTTTAATATACAGTTCTGTTTTGACAGATATATAAAGTTGTGTAAATACCACCAAAATCAAGGTATAGAACATATCTGTCACCCACAGAAGTTCTCTCATGTTCTTTGGCCTTTCATCCTTGCCCCACTATTAGCTCTGGGAAGCTCATGATTCTATTTTAATATTAAAATACACCAAACAACTGAGGAAATTAAGAGCTGAAATTTTGGGCACAGACTTAATCTATGCCCCTGGGCATGTTATTTACCCTCTCTATACTTCAATTTGTCACCTATATAATGAGATTAATTTAGAATAGAACTCTGTGTATCTTAAGCACTATGCAAATGTTCATGAAACACCCGACAATTTTTTGAACCTCAAGAAGAAAGATGTGCTGGCGAAGGTATATTTTTCCAAACTAAATGAGCTGTTTGGATGAATTTAGCCACACAGGATGAAAACACAGTTTTTAGAATCATCAAGTCTAAACAATAACATCATTTTCTCACAAAAGTTTTGGTTAATGGCTTCATTATTTCAATCCTTGGGCACAAACATCGTCAGAGTAATTCTGAAGTTCTCTTTCTCACAAATTGCACATTCATCAGCATTTTCTGCTGACTACTTCTAATCACCTCCTAGGCTACTACCTTGGTCCAAATCACTGTTTCCTCCTGCCCAGGTAATCCCCTTCTGTTTTCAGTATATAACAGTCAGGGACCTGTTCTATCTTCAATTTCCTCTGCTCTACAACCGTCCTGACTTCACTGATGCTCAGGGAATGCATAGGCCACTCTACCTAAGAGCCTTAACCTTCTTGGTTTCTCTGCCAATCACATTCTCCCCAATTATTTACATGGCTTGTTTCCTAGACTTCAAATATCCTCTTCTCATGGCAGCGTGTACATTCCTATTTAAACTGGAAGCTGTCTAGGAGCACCCTCTGTCCCCGTCTCCTTTATTATTTTTATATATTTCACCGCATGACACACAATGTTGTTCATTGCTTCTTTCCATTAGTTTATGTATTTAAAATATTTTCTCATTTTCATTTGTATGTGTCCTAAAGATTGTACCACTGGTCTTGCTCGTGAATTTATATGTTAGAAAAATCTCTCTGGAAGCAGCATGGGTGACTGTGTGACTAGAGGCAGGTAAATTATCTGGGAAGTGTTTGCAGTAACTCAGGAGGGGTATAAGAAAAATCCAGTTTAAGTCAGCAACAGGTAGAGATTGAATGGTAGTAACATTTGAGAATATTTAGACGGTAAAATTGACAAGTCTTAGTGACTGATTGCATTT